CTTTTCAATATGGGGTACGTAGGTAAGTTTGGAGACTAGTATAATACCTAAATATTTGATTGATTGTACTGAGTGCAGGCAAGTACCATTCACACCGTAATGGTAAACAAATTGTTTTATGTTACGAGTGAAAAACATCTGAAAGCACTTACTTGTATTCAACTCCATACCATTCTCTTTACACCAGCAATATATTTTGTCTATGTCCATTTGAAGGGCATCTGAGTCAGCAACACATTTCATTTCTCTGAGAATCTTTAGATCGTCGGCGTAGAGAAAGGGTGTTGAGTTACTCAGTATCATCGGTATATCATTTATAAATATATTAAAAAATATCGGGCCTAAATGGGATCCGTGTGGAACTCCAGATGTTATTTTTAAAAAGCTCGATTTGTAAACATTTACCTCAACATAAAAAGAACGATCACTTAGTATGACTGGCATTAATTGAGCATAGGACATGCGATACAGTATGAGTAGAGTTTAGAAATCAGCAGTCCGTAGGGAACCCTATCGAACGCTTTACTAAAATCAGTGTAGATAACGTCAACCTGGTTACCGGTTACGGACTCAAACAGCTTCTCCAGAAAGTTTGCTAGATTAGTAGTGGTAGATATCGAGCGCATCAAAAATATTTCTACCGACTATCAACACGGTTTCCGTGTTGATAGTCGGTAGAAATATTTTTGAAAAAATGCTGTAGGATGGGAGAGATTAAGGCTTCCAGAGTTTTTGCAAATGTAATTAAAATAGACATAGGCCTATAATTACCTACTATTCTATTGTTATTGCTTTTGTAAATAGAGACAACCTTTGCAGACTTCCATTGTGCCGGAAAGATACCAGTTTTTAGTGACGTATTGTAAATAATCAAACGTTGTGTTACTAGACAGGAAGCGCATTTTCTGACGAAAAATGGTGGAATATCATCTGGCCCTGCACCTTTAGTTGAATCTAAAGTTTTGAAATTATTGATTGATGAGATTGAGATACCATAGGAGTGCACTTTTATCCAGTTCGATCGTAGTTAGCGAATCGTTATTGAAATTAAGCTGATTAGTCTTTAGAAGTGATTTGTTACCATCGTCTACTGTGTGCACTGATGCAAAAAATGATTCAAACATATCACTGATTGCTACTCCATCCGATACATTACTATTTGTGTGCCGTTAACACACGTTGCACTGCAGGATGTATGTAAATGCAAGTAGGACGATGCAAGGGATAGAGAGATGCAAATGATTGGAATATTATTAACTAATGTAAATAAAACGACCGTGTCCGAATGAGACAATAATAACACTCATTTATTGCAAAATATACATCGATCACCGTGATGTTGCAGTAAGCATAAATCGAATACTTATGATATCGTGCGGGTTTACTTGTGCATATTAAAATAACAAATGCAAATCATAACAAATGTACGGTTTCACTCGTACAATTTGTGTTGTTGTCTAACATTGAAAGTGGGTAAATGCCACTCCTCTTGTTCTTTAAATGAGTCCAAAATATTTAGGATTATTTTTAATATTATTATCAGTATGGTTAACATAAGAGCTATAAAAAGGAACAGCTAATTTTTCTCATCTTTAGCTCAATAGCTTTAGACTTAGTTCGTCTAAAGGGTTTTTGTATTTCCTAAATCTTAATCGTAGTCTATTTTTTTTATTTTAAGCGCTTGATTAATTAATTAATTTATTTATTTATTTATTTATTTATTTTAGGAAGGTTTACAGCTATTAATACAAAATATAAAATACAAACTAAACAACATCAAAGAGCCTATTACAAACCTCCACTTATGCATATCAAAAATGGCAAATTAAGAGCTTTATTTATAGTTTACTATTTATACAGACCAAAGAAAAGAAAAGAAAAACCGGAAAATTTTGCAATGTTAAGCCATTATAGTAAATTAAACAATGATGTACACATAACGAAATATGCAGCTTGAGCACACCTGCAATTAATACCGTCCAAAATAATTCAAAGTTATAGTTCTTCGAATAGTTGCTGTGCTTGTTTCAAACAAATCAAAGTCATATTCAGTGTCATACCTGTTATAGGTACTACAGCCGCGTATCATGAATGTGTTTTGTCTATAATTTGTGTGAGCTATGGGAATGTGAAGCAACGGGCGACGCCGCAAAGTCAATGAGTTAGTACGGAGACCGATTTTAGACAATAATTCCGGACAGTCAATGCCAGCATTAGCCAATTTGGATAGAAAACAAAGATCATTCACTTCACGACGCACTTGAAGAGGCAGAAAATGATACCGCTTGCAACGGTGTTCGTAATCCACGGACTGTTGTCTGGTCTTAAAATCAAGAAATCGCAAAAATCTTTTTTGTATATTCTCTAATCGCGTGATATAGATGTTGTATTGGGGATTCCATACACAGGAAGCGTACTCAAGATGACTACGCACGAAGGCGCAGTACAAAACTTTAATAGTTTTCAAAGATTTCAAATCGTTGGACATACGGATAACGAACCCGAGGGCCTTTGAAGCCTTACTTGCAATATGATCAATATGATCTTTAAAGATTAATTTACTATCATGTATGACACCCAAATCCTTAATATTATTGACTCTAGTTAAATTGTGATTATGGAGTATATATTTAGATTCTATTTTGCTATTTTTACGAGAGAAAGTCATACAGAAGCACTTAGTTACATTTAGGTCTAATTTATTCGTAATGCAATATTGTTCGAACCGCAAGAGAACTTCCTGCAGATCACGGATATCAGATGAATTGTTGATAACCTTTAGGATTTTCATATCATCTGCGAAAAGTACAGATTTTGAATAACGAAAGCATTTGTTAATGTCCATTATGAAAATAATAAATAAAAGTGGACCCAAAATTGACCCCTGGGGTACACCAGAAGGTATCTTAGTCCACTGTGACAAAAAACCCCGTAAGACTACAGCCTGATTACGATTATCAATATAGGACGCAAACCAACGATACAAGTTACCATGTATGCCTGCTGCTTGAAGTTTAGAAAGCAATATACAATGGTCTATTCGGTCAAAACATTTTTTGTAATCAGTGTATACTACATCAACCTGTGCTCCTCTTTCCATCCCACTAGTAATGAAATCGTTTGCAATAATCAGGTTTGAGGATGTGGAACGTTGTCTAAGAAAACCATGTTGATCGTCACTAAATGAATTTTGTAAACTAGAATAAACTTCTTTATAAACTAACCTTTCCAATACCTTGGCAAATAGACACAATTTGGATATGGGACGATAGTTTTCCACATTACATCTATTCCCTTTCTTATGGACCGGTGTGATGAAGGCAGATTTCCACAGTTTAGGTACAATTTCCTCAGACAATGATCGCCCGTACAACAGACTCAATGGAACCGCCAAACTTTCGGCACATTTTACAATTAAAAGTGGAGGAATCAAATCAGGTCCCCCCGACTTTGTTAAATCGAGTGATTTTAAAAGATCATGTACCTTGATTGCATTAATTTGAATATCGCCTATGCTACATAGAACGTTATCGTAGTTCATGTTGACAGTGCAACACGTCGATTGGCCAGTCACCAAGAAAGTCTCAAGAAAGTACTCCGCAAATAGGTTACTTATATCTTCACCAGTGTCAGCGCTCACAGATTTGTAATTCATTACACTAGGAAAAGTCGAGTTGTTCCTTTTCATTTTTACAAACGTCCAAAATGCTTTGGGGTTCTCTACAATTGAAGATTCGATGTGTTTTAAAATTACGAGAAAACCACGGCGGATACTTTTTACTGTTCGGTACGTGAAATGGAACTAATTTCTCAATAATTTTATACAATTCCACAACCGTTCGTTTCAAACCACACGAAGAGCAGAAATCTACCAGAGATTGAGCAATCCGCGGTACGACATAATTGGACTCGCCAACCAGACTCCAATTCAGGCAACTGAGATCAAAATCTCCGAATGTATAATATACCGAATCAACACTACTTTGACTCATAACGTTATTACAGTTGTGTAGAAAATTTTCCAACAGTACTCTGTTCAAAGGAGGGGGCAAGTATACTGCACATAGCGCTATATGTTTAACGATATTAGATATTTTTTGTACCAATTGTTACCCACAAGTCCTCGCAATTGCTTTCCCAGAATGTAATTCTGGATGAGTTGTATTTTTTAAAACAGCAACAATTACTTCTCCACCATCTTTTTTCTTTGACGAAACAGAGTCTCACCTATGTCTTCTGTTATACAGCGTATCTATTATCAAGTAATTCTGTACTTATTACACTATCATTGAGCCAAGTTTCAGTTAAGACAATTACGTCAAAATCACAACAATGTACATTTGAATAAAATTCGTACCCATTAGCCTGCTGTCGTGAATAAATTTAGTTAGGATAGTAACCTCTGATAGTTAATGAAGTTCTAGTATAAGTTAAGAAGGGCGTGTGTTGATTATTGTATATTGGATTATTAAACCAACGGTGACCTCTGAACTGACGCACCGCACAACATTGCAGCCGAATCGCGGTCTGTGGGCGTGCAGGCGACAACAGCGGCGCCGGTTCTGTGCGCAGCGGCGGGCGCGTGCGCACGCATCACACGATTCGAGCCGGCGCGCGCCGGTGATGAGGCTCAAGTGCTCATCGCGCTGCTGCCGCACGCGCACGCTCTCCCGCTGACATAGTCCGTTGTAAATCGACCTTCACACTTTACCATAATAAGTTTGGTAAAGTTAAAGTTCTGTAATTATAAGTTAATTTTGCAAATGCGAACTTACAAAATTTTATAAACTAAATAAAATAAAAGAAAATAGCTTCAGAAAATAAGAAAATGGCTTGTTTGTATTGTGCGGTTCACACACAAATTTTGCTAGTACGCTCCCATAGTCACAATATTCGAGGATGACGTGTGCCGACGGCTCCAGAAATAGCTCAAGAAGCGGGTCAGCGACACGCAAGTGTGCGCGTACGCGGCGGCAGTGGACGCTCGGTGGCACGACGCAATGGGCGACACGACGAGAGCGCTGCTGCTGCTGCTGTTGCTTATGTCAACAGTTCTCACCCAAGATTTTAAAGTTGGTCAGTGGGTTTATTATATCATGTAGGTTTGTTTACCTTGCTTTAGTTACGTTCGTTTATATTAATTATTTTGTTCTTATGGTAGGATATGGTAGAACTCAGAACGTATTTTCTATTTTTTGTAACGTTTTAAAGCACATGTTATGTCGCTATCTTGCGGTTTATTGTCATGAGACGTAAACGATGTTGAAACTGGAATACCTACCTTTCTTTTCAAAAATATGTACATGCGAGTGCATGTAATATGTTGTCTAGGTGTGGTGGACGAGTGGCCGGCGACGGCGCGTGCCCTGGAGCACGCGGCGAAAGCGGCGTTGGCTGCGCTCAACTTGACCGGCATCGGTGAGGTGGAGCCCGCCGCCGTCGAGCCCGGCGAACCGCTTGCGCTACCGGCGCGCATTTGCCAGCAGGTTTCCAGTTTTCGTGATCGCGTAACGTAGCTGTCTATTACTCAGCTTAAACTTTAGGACTTAAACCTTCTAATAAAATTATTCGGATGTAATAACAATAATATCACAGACAAACGCACCGATTGCCCGATCTCAGTAGAAAATGTGTTTACTCAATCGATCCTATGAAAACGAGCTTCATCATCCAGCGCCCAAAGTTTAAGTAACAGTCGTGAGAATCTATAACCGGTTAATTTCAAACGATATAGACCTCTTAACACATAGAATAAAAGTCGACTCACGATAGACAAACGTAAACTAACATTTGTGAGGCGTACGATGACGACACGCGATGCGAGCAGGCCAAGGCGGGCGTGACAGTGGTGGTGGGCGGTGCACCGGCGGGCGACAACGCGGAGACGGCCCGCGCGGCGCGACTAGCGGCGGAAGCGGCGGCACGCGCCGGCGTGCCGCTGCTGCTGCTGCAGCCCGCGCCGCTCGCCGCCAGCTGGGAGGTGCTCGCGCTGTACCCGCACGAGGATGTAGTCGCTCAGGTAACACTCCGCGCGAGGCTGAGACGCTGCCAGTACAACATTGGCGTGTAATGTTTGAACGCATGCCCATCGAAGGCGGGTGCGGACCTGTGCCAAGCCAAGGGCTGGCGACGCGCCGTGCTGCTGCACGAGGGCAGCGCCCGCAGCGCTGCGCTCATAGCTCCCGACGAAGAGCAGCTGGAGCTGCAGGCGCGCCGGCTGCCGCCGAAGCACGACGACGCATTGCTCAGGTGGGGGCGGCGGCGACGATCGCGCCGGCGCGCGCGAACGGCAGCGACAGTAACACGTGTGCGTGCGCAGGAACACCCTGCTGGTCCTGAAGAAAGCAGGCGCGACCAACTTTATCGTGTGGTGCGGGGCCGAGTGCGCGGTGCGCGTGCTGGACGCGGCGCAGCGCGTGGGACTGCTGGGCGCGCGACAATCTTTCGTGGTACTTTCGCTGGAACTGCACACGCAACCGTTGCACACCTTCAGCCACGGCGGCGCCAACATCACCGGTACGCCGAGAACCGCCCGCTCGGGGCCAAGCGAACGAACGAAAATTTATTCGTAGCGACATTTCGCCGCAGGGCTGATGTTGTTCGATCCGGAAGCAGACAGCGTGCGCGACTTGACATCGGCGTGGCGCGAAGCAGAGGGAGGCGTCCTCTCGGAGGACGCGCTGCCACCGACCGCCGTCCTGCTCGCATACGACGCCGTCAAGATCGCAGCGCGCGCGCATCTCGACCTGCGCTTGGCGCGCAACGAGACGCGCGCCGCGCCCGGCGACTGCGACTCCGGCCGCGGCGCCTTCCACGCGGACTCGCTGCTTAACTACCTTCGCGCGGTAAGCGTCGACCGTGAGGACCGACGAACGGGACCCGGCATACAAAGCTCGTGCGCTGCAGCAGGAGGAGTGGAACGGCATATCCGGCGCATTGTCGTGGGAGGCGGACGGGCAGCGCCGCGTGGACCGGCTGCAGGTGGTGGAGCTACAGCGCGGCGGGCTGCTCGCGCACGCCGGCGTGTGGACGGCGGTAGACGGCGTCGCCTGGGAGCGCCCAGCTCCTGCCGACGGGCCTTCGCCTTCTCCTGGCCTGATGGTCAATCGCACCTTCACCGTACTCATCGCCATGGTAATTACGATGGTCCCGTATAGAATTTCTGCTTGAAATTCCCAAAAATAAGAGTTCAAGCTGGTAGGTATCTATGTATTGACCCGTAGATTTATCCATCAGCCGTTTCTACCATAAAAACTCCATCATTTGTGATGGGAGTTACAAATTTAACAAAATTACAATTTATTTCGGTATTAGTATTAAGTATTTAAATAAGAAGTGTCAGCCAACGTTTCGAAAAAAGGCTGGCGCACTGTCCGAGCGAGTGGTACGAACCATATCAATTTCTGTTCGTCTCTCCATAACTCAAAGTCTATTTCACATACTCTTGTTATTTTATTTCTCCAATAACATTTCCGATTGGTCCGACTGCGTCCATTCTCTAATCTTGTAAAAAAACCTTTGGCCAAATATGTTGAACTTTCAATATCGCTAATTATTTTTATTATTATTATTTTATTATAATATTATAATATTAATCAAAAATACAGTGGTCAAATGTCTAAAATTAAAAACTGCGAAACAGGTGATCTAAAAACTTAAAATTTGGCATGTGGTTAAGAAAGGGGACAATCATGAACAGCTGATTGTGAACCGAAAATAGTCAAAATTGGGGACTTAATAATCAAACTATATTTGAGGTATTCCGTCATGTGTGAAACTTTTTATGCTAAGTATATTCAAATTCAAATTGAAATCATTTATTTCGAACTATTACATCCATATACAAAAATTACAAAATTAATAAGCACACACATTCATTACATTAATGCTGCTTTACTACTGCCTTCGTGGCCGAACGGTTACCATGCCGGACTGCCACGCAGAGGTCCCAGGTTCGATTCCCGGGCCGGGAGAAATGTTTGTATGGCCTACATTTATTTCTCTCGTGAGTTTGGGTGTAATTTGTGGTTGTCTATGTGTGTGTCCATGGCACCCGCGACACAGGGTTTCCCTAGTGCGGGGCTATGTTGAGTGTGTGCGTTATTTATTATTATTATTTATTAATCAAACATAGACAAAAACAATTAAATTCACTTCAAACAAAATAAATAAAATTAAACTCAATTAAAATAATGTACCATGCACTACAAAATTACATGATCACACAAGTATAGGTATCCATCCAGTGGGTTTAGTTTTGGCTCTTCTTTTAATAACGGGGCGTGAAAGCACCATTGCGCACTGCGCGCCTCCGCGAACGCACTCGTTACTGGCACTGCACTGCGGCGCCGCGGCACTCCCGTCAGCATCCTAAACGCATTATTATACTGGACCCTCAAGGTGTTTAGGGTCACCTTACTATATTTCGCCCAAATGTTATACGTGTAGAAGGTGATATACCTAACAGTATAAGTGAAAGGGTTGTAACCCTAACTAGCCGTGAACAGGTTCACGGCAATGAAATGGGAAACTTCCGGTCCACAAAATTTATTAAAGAAGTAAAGTTTAAAGAAAGGCTGTAACAATATAAAGGTAAATGTAAAAAAAAACAGATATAACAGTATAAAACACTCCCTACACTTTATTATTAAGGCACTTACCCCTAAATGGGCCGAGAAACTGAATTACAGAAATAGATACATGAAGGGTGTAGACTTGTAAATTATTACACATGATTAGCTTATTAACAGCTCTGACTGTTGTGGCGGTCGAGCTGGGAGTGACCGTGGTACGAAAACAAAATGAGAAATAATAATAATAATAATAATAATAACGCTCACACTCAACATAGCCCCGCACTAGGGAAACCCTGTGTCGCGGGTGCCATGGACACACACATAGACAACCACAAATTACACCCAAACTCACGAGAGAAATAAATGTAGGCCATACAAATATTTCTCCCGGCCCGGGAATCGAACCTGGGACCTCTGCGTGGCAGTCCGGCATGGTAACCGTTCGGCCACGGAGGCAGTTAAAAGTGAAGGAAGATGGAACAATTCAAATTTAAAATTTAAATACAAGTAAAATAAAAAAATGATAAGATACAAGAGGAGAGAGGCGATACAAAGAGGTAAGATGACGGTGTAAGGAAGTCACACCGTCACATAAGTAACAACTATTTTTCGAAGGCATTTTAAACGATCTAGAACATTCAACGCGTAGGGATTAGACTTAGAGAAAGGTATGTGCCTAAGTAAACATTAATAGCAAACATAAAATAGTAGATTGCACAACAAGTAATATCATATGATAGTTATAAGTCAAGGGTAAAATGAGTTTTATGAACGAGTTACACATTCTGCTTTTCACTACGATTGCGAGGAAATTAGATAGCAATATCGCAAATAAATGTTTATTTCATTAAAATTGAAAATAAAAATAGAACATAATCATAGAGTACACACTCCATAGTATAGACGACTTCAATTTCTTGGACTATTCATCCAAATATTCATTTGTTTTTCGACCCTCCAACGCATGAAAACTTTAAACGCGCCACTATAAAATTGCTTAGATTTCGCTGAAGCTCGGGTGTCGGGTCAGGTGCCACCTCGGACACGTATTGCATTAGGCTCGTTAGTCCCTGTATGAAAATACACTAAAACACAATTAAAGGCAAAAAGACGTCGCACCACAAACGTGCGTTTGGAAGAATTGAATCTAAGTTGGTCTGCACGTTATAACCTGGTTTGTATTTTTGGTTGCATACACGTATTTTTACGAATTGTTGTTTCAGAATGACCCATATGTGATGCGACGAGACTCTACAGATCGGCTCTCAGGCAATGACAGGTACGAAGGTGAGTCGTAATGGTCGGTGAGCAAGACAAGGACCTTCAGAGGCAAAAGGTCCCCTTCCTAGTCCTCCTTCTCTTCTTGCTCCTTCGTCTGATTTGTACACAATAGCGGCGGCTATAATTTTGTGCCTAATTCATTAAAAAAAAAATTTCATGACAATATTGAAACGCATTCAAAATTCCCGAGATATTTTTTTTTATTCTTTATATTCTACTAGGTTCAAATTTATATATGTAAACGGGAACCACTTATGAAGCACATTGTCAATAGTTATTTGTTATGAAAGGCTTCAAAGTTGTTGTTTGACGCGACAACTTGTATCGAAACCTGAGCAAGCGAAGGAAGCTAAGTTTTCAAAAATAGAATCCTGGGCTTAGCGAGGGTTTCAAGGCACGAGACGCAAAACAACTTTGCTTCTGAGCGAAACACACAACTTTTCAACTCACTATAGCGGGGAAAATGGTAGATGAAAGAAAAGCAGTTGAACTATAACAAAGAAAATTAGTTATCGCATTGACCTACCAACAAATGGGCATCGGGTCTAATACAAAAACCACGAAAAAAATGTCCGAACTTAACCTATATAAACGTAGTGACATGTAACGAAATATAAAAAACTAAAACATTTAATTTAAATTGTAATGTCATTGCAGTACTGCCTAATTTTGCTTGCAACAATTTAAGGGCCCAAAAACACCATATTCAGCTTCTACTGGAAACTTAACAAAATTAACCATATTTAGCTTCGACTGAAATTTACTTGAACACAAGAGTAATGGAGTAGTCTTTCTCCTAAATGTTAATTAATTTTTATATATATATATATATTATATTATATATATATATATGTATATATATATATATATATATATATATATAATCGAATATAAGAGGTTTATATACGCTTCTTGAAATTGACGTAATGGGTCTCTTTCCAGTTAGTGATCTAATTATTTTGTTTGCTTTTGTAATTTATATATAAATTAAATACTATACAACTGTACAAAATAACACTTTTAAATGAAAACTATGATAACACAATATATTTGTTTAGTGAAAATATGACACAAAATCCTGTTTATACACTTTACTGCAGTAATTTTGACAAGTTACTATTATATTATATAGTACTGCATAATTGACAACCGCGCTGTCAGTCGAACAAACGAAGACTGCTGCGCGATTGACGCTCTGTATGCGATTTTAACGCCCTATAGGTGCGGACACTTTTTAGCGCGAACGCGACATCCATTTGTTAATAGGTCAATGAGTTATCGTTGTCAATATAATGTCAACAATAAGTAAATAAGAATAAAATATACCAACGGATTTATACTACATAAATAATGTACGACAAAACGCGTAGTTAGACGTGTCATTATGTTTTTTTTTCATCGAAAGAAAAAGTTAGGTGCACCACAGTCCATCGTCAAGTTCGATTTCCAAAAACCTTTTCCACGTGGAAAAGGGAAAAACGCTTTAGCGCGCAGATTTCTAATGAGAAAGATAGCCTTTCCGAGCTCGTGAGGTAAAAAATATATTTACGCATTAAATTATCAGCTACCTCTTACGCATAACATGCTCCAGTAACGAAATTATCTTCAAGTAAACTGGAACTTAAAAACATATTAAGATAATTGGTAAGCAAAAAATCTGAAGTGCTAATAAATAATAGACGATAGGCAAAAATTTATATTATTTCTAAAATAAACTCTAATTACGTACGTTGCGTACGTTCGTACTCTAATTTACGTAATAATGTCTTTTAAGTAATTTGCAAGATCACTATGTATAAAAAAATAAACCAGTCTGTATCCAACAAGCATTTTTCGTTACAAGTTACATGGCGCAGTCTTTATCGGGATTAAAAAGTGGTAATTTTACGTTAATACGTTTGTGAATAAATAATAATGGAAAGTATTTTGTCGCCGCCTAAATCGTTCAGCTACGATGGCAATTCAGTGGATTTATTATCAGACGGTATTAACGATATGTGGACAAAATGGAAACGAAACTACGAAATTTATACAGAGGCGTGTGAAATTATAAAAAAACCTGGAAATGCTCAATACAACATATTTCTTCACGTAGTTGCTGAGAAATCTTAGAACAAGAAGACGGAAACATTAACGACTGTTGAAGGGGCTTTGAAAAAATTGGAAAACCATTTCAAATGTAAGAAAAACGTAAAAAAGCCGTTGAGCGGCATACATTTTTTTGTAAGAGAACAAAAAGAAGGTGAAACTGTCGAATAGCACGTGTTCGAATTGCGTAGATTATCTCAGTCCTGTAATTTTAGTACTATGAATGAAGAATTAATAAAAGATAGATTGGTTTTCGGTGTAACCAGCGCGAACATTCGAGAATGTTTGCTACGTGAAGAGGATTTGACATTAAAAAAGGCAATAGAAATATGTCGAGCTGCGGTTGTATCCAGGATTTATTCTGAAAACGTTAAAAATGAAATGGAACCAGTATTTCAGGTACACAGTGAGATTCAAGAAAATGATGATATATATGCAATTAAGAGATACAACGGAGTAAAACAATGAGATTTTCGTGTGGCGTCGTGGCAAGGAGGTCAAGTTCGCGGCCGCGACTCGTGCAGTGGTGCACGTGCGCATTCTGCCTCATATTCGCGAGGTGGCGGGATCGGTGCCGATAGAAACTACCGACATGAAAACAGACGACGCAATAGATGTGGAAGTGTATATCCAAAAAATTATTATTCCGCATACGGAAGGAAGTGCATGCGATGTTCGAAGATGAATCATTTTGCCAAAATGTGCATGGTATTTTACAAGGATAATTCATATGAACAGGTATTAAACATTAATTCTATTAGCAGTTGGGATATAGATTTAATTATAAAAGGCCAAGTTTTAAATTTTAAATTAAATGCCGGGTGTACCTTTAAAACATTTATTAAAAATTTTAATCCAATTTTACCTTGTAACTGATTTGTTGATAACAAATACAAAATTACCAGCGAACTCAGGGACTACTATAAAAATTCAAGGAAAAATATATTTGAGAGTTAGTTATAAAAACAAATATTATACACTACAATTTAAAATTGCTGAAGTAGGTACAATCTGTTCCTATTTTAGGTCGGGATGCATGCGCAGAACTAGATGTGATAAGGCGTGGTTCTAGTACTATACTAGGATTGTAGCTATGTGACGATGTGACCTTCTTGCATCGTCATCCCACCTTTTTATCGCCTTTCTCCGGTTCCTGGCCACTCGTATTTAAATTTTGAATTGTTCCATTCTTTTTAAAATTCGCCGCGTGCATAGGCTCTAAAAGCCACTTAAAGTAAAACGAGATTTAAAATAATTTCACAATAGTGAAATAAAATCTTTAAATTGGTTCCATCGTTTACGTTCAGCAATTTCAACTTTTGACTTTTGCAGAAAATTAAAGAAAAAAGTATTTGAAAAACATCCCTAAAATATATATTTTTCTAAAAATGTGATTTTTTTCAAGATATTTTTTTCCATGCCCCAACACTGTTTACTACATAGGTACATAAGAGCGGTGTAGTAGGTCCCATGTCGCTTTCTGAAACAAAATTGGTGCAGCGCCAACATTTTCCGTTACGAATATTCAAGTGTCTTGAATCATAAACTTATTAATAGTAGCTTTTTTGGGAATTAGTTTAACATTGCCCGAAACAAACTTTTTCATCACACTTACCTACTCGTAAACAGAGGCGACTTTGCACGGAGGCAAAGTAATAGGGGTTAAAGTATGAAATTGCCGATTTGTACTGAAA